AGACAGTTGAAATTTCTGGGACACCTAATGAAGAAGGAGGGCTTGGAAAATCTGATACTCACAGGACAGATTGAAGGATAGAGGAAAGCCGTGTATAACATACTTGATGAGCTTAAATAAATGAATGGCAGAACAGAGTTTAGGAGAAATAATGAAAAGACAAAATTTATTAGGAGCTATGAAGGCCAGGAAATTGTGGAGAACCATGATCACCTATGTCCTGAAGCGAATATGGCACATAAAGAAGAAGAATGATCGAAAGCTTATTTGTGTCTATTACTAATAACCAATGCTGCTATAAATTACCAAATTTTATGTTGGCCAGTAAACAGTTACAGGAATACAAGGTGCTAAGAATTTGGATGTGCAGGTGGTGTAATGAATAATGACTTGGAATTGTTAATTAGAGAGCAAAGTTCCAATTCCTGTTGGGTCCGTTATATTCACTTATATGTAAATATCATTCGAAAAGGTATGAATCCACCTTTTCTCCTCTCAGCTATGGGTTAATTAGTAAGACATATGTATCACCAAACCATTATTACCTCAAAAATTCTTATAATCTAAAAATATTTTCTGGCTTTAAATAACTTGCAATAAGTTGATAAGCTGGAATACCAGGTGCCGTAAGCTTGGATGTGCAGTGGTGTAACAGATAATGGGTCAGAATTGTTAAGTGTAAAGCAGAGTTCTAATTCCTATTGGGTCCGTCATATTCATTTATGTGTAAAGACCATTGGAAAAGGTATGAATCCTCCTCTTCTTGCTCCAGCTATGGGCTAATTAGTAAGGCTTTTATCACTAAACCATTATTATCTCAAAAAAAAAAAAAAAAAAAAAAAAAAATTCTTACAATCTAAAAATATTTTGTGGGTTTAAATAACTTGCAATGGGTTGATAAGCTGTAGAAAAAACATTACAAAATTAATATAAACAGGTCTTGTTTCTGTTTTCTTATAGTACTTAGAGTAATTTTTTAAAACTTTACTTTTCATTTAACTAAATTTAGATCAAATAATATTACATTATCCAAAAGGTTTATATTGCTTTTTTCTCTAGACAACACCAACTAACCTTGCTAGTTATTCATTAATTATAGATTCTAAAAAGTGAGCAAATATAAGTGTGAATTTAAAAACAATAAGTGAAACAGGTCACAAACAAGTGGCTCACCTATTTATATTCATTTATGTCACACCTTATTGCAAATAATCAAATCTAACTACAGTTGAAAACTTCTATACAAGAGCTACGTACATTATAGTTCTCCACTCCTAAAGAGTTCTCACTGATCCATATACTTGCTTGGCATTAAACAGATTCAGTGAAAATGCTTTTTATTTTTTTTTTAGAATACAATTTAACATTACCTTTGACAAGAGAGAACATTTTGGGGTGAAGAAAGGACAGAAGGGAAAAAAAAACGTGAATTAAAAAAAATTCAGACTGAATATTAAGGTTCAGTGAATAAAGGTCAACATAAATCAAAATGTCAGATTAAATTTTATTTTCAGTTGTAAAGAAGTGCAAGGCCATATTTAAAAGGAAGACATTCTATTAATGGTCATAATGGTAATATTAGCCATTTCCTTATAAAGAAAAATTCAACATTCACAGACGAAAAGCAGCCAGTGCTACTCGAGTCATGTTTTCTTCACTGGGATAGGATCAAAGTGTAGTATCTGTTCTCATCATCTCTAAAACTAATATTATCCATTACCTTATAAAAAACGCGTTTGGTATTCATTGACAGAATAGTCGTAGCTACTTTCAGTTGAAATTTATAAAATCTTTCTTTTAAAACAGTTGTTCAGGAAAATATGTTTCTCAAATCCTGTAATTCTTATCAAATCTTGTAATTCTTATCACTTTTTCCAGTATTGATTTGGAGGGGGGGGCCTTCTTTCTTAAACTTTTGTTTAAAGTAGGTGGAAACATCAATATCTTAACTATGTTACAGTGTAACCCGGATATAAGAGAGATTTTCTCTGGTCCCAAATTAGAGCCCATACTTACCTAAACAAAATAGACCAAACCCGGATATAAGAGACTTCTTCTCCGGTCCCGACAACTCTCTTATATCCGGGTTACACTGTATTAGTTTCTCATCAAATTACATGTGTTATCCATTTTAGCTGTTGTTGAAAGTCTTCAAGTGATATGGTTTCTGTTATTTGGTACAGTTCTTTGTGATTCTGCAGTGCCAGTCTACAAAGTTCAAAGAAGCATGGTCCTCGTTCAGTGCCATCTTCAACATTTGACGTACAGTTTAGATAATTCTAAAGAAGCTTGGTGCAATGCATGTCATCAATATGAAAGTCTTAATCTGACAAATTATTTCAGAACATGACTCGAGGAGTTTTTAATTTAATGTGTTGATTTTGTAGTAATATTAAGAAATGCTTTGTAAAGTTGCAGAAATATGAACTTTCATAATTGTGTAGGAAGAAAAATTAATAAACATTGAAATAGTAACAATATTATTAAAAGGATAAACATTGAAATAGTAACAAAACTGAATCACTTTTTGTTTTTACTGGTTATCTACAATCCTATTAACTGTTTTTATTTTTTCAATTCCTCAGTCTTTGACCAGAAGTAAAACTGGTCAGTTGGAACAGAGATTGGAAATTGGGAATCTGGACAGAAGATAAACGACAGATTGGTCAGTGGAATTTGTTGAGTGCAGATCAGGGTTAGGGTTAGAGCATCAGGGTCAGGAAAAAAACTTCAGAGAGTGGATGGTAAAGAAACAGAAAAACCTGTGCCTGACATGGATTTTGTTTGATTAAACTTTAGCCTATGATAAAGAACAGTGCCAGATGGAGGAGACTGCCAGATAGCTCAGCACATCACCAATGCCACCTTCTGAGGCTAAAGGCGAAATCCAAGCCAAGCCAAAGAAGAGTACCTAAAACAGACTCAGAGACTTTGCTTCTTTTCAGTTGGATTCTAAAAGAAAAGAGGCCAGATGAAATGATTAAGGTTGTTGAAGACAAAAAAAAAAAAAAATCTGAGAATCTAGGGAGTGTTGATCAAAATAGTCTGGAAATGACTGTTAAAGAATAAGAATGAACAAATCCCCAAAGAGGAAAGCAGTAATCTTAATGATAGAAATACAAATTAATTTTGAGCAGAATTAGATTGTAGTATATTTCATTATCCTCTCATAGTCGTTTATAACATTTAAAAAAGTTAAAGTTACAAAATTTGAAAAAACAAACTATACCAAAACAAAGATGGAAAAATTTGTAAAATCTAAAAGACACAATTGTAAGATATGCATCAAATTAAAATCCAAAAATGTCATGGATGATAAAAAGAAAAAAGTAGATAGAGAAAAATATGAGAATTTGAAAATGTTTAGCATTCACTTATATTATTGGGTTCTGGGATTTTTATGAGGAAGAAAAAGTAGAAAAAATATTTTGGATGAAATTAATTTTAAAAATAAAATTTTTTAACCTGTTTTTCACTTAGAGGAACGATAAAAATAAACATTAAATTTGCAAAGTAAAAAATACTGCTTCCCCCCCAAATATACCTTTCCAGATTCTATCTGCTATCCAGATTATTTTATACCTGATTAAAGTAGAATAATATGTAGCAGAATTTAAATTTATTTCCCCTGATGAGAATTAAATTCTTACAAATGCCTTATGACATCAACTCATTAGCTACTGCACCATCATATACATTTGTCTGGAAATATTTTTAAAGAAAAAGATCTGACTGAATATATTTTAATAAATAATGTGATTTTCATTAAAAAATATAGACATTTTCAGCAAGATGTTTTATAGCCTAAATCCTACCTTTAAAACCAGTGAAAGATGATAAGGAAATTTGTATGTGTGTGTGTGTGTGTGTGTGTGTGTGTGTAGACATGCGAGATAAAAAAATTTAGATAAAGTAAAAATCAATGCAATAAAAATGATCATTTTATAGACTTTATACAATGTAATATCAAGTAAGAGTCAAATACATGATATGAATTCAAATAACTAAGAGAAATATTTTTTATTGCACAGAATAAATTATAAACAGAACTTAAATGTCAAAATCTATAATTAAGTACAGTTTGTCTCCTACCACCAATATTTATAGACAATAACACATTCTAGAATAACGCATGACTGCAGAGACTCAGGATTTATTTTTTTCCTAGAAGAATTTTTATGTATGAAATCATTTAAAAATTATTGCTTACTATTGGAAGAAAATGAAAATAAGAAAAAATAGTTTTAGTCTTTAATACAAAATCTGACCTTTGCAGAGAAGAAAAATGTTGAATATAAAAATAAACATTGTGAAATGTAAATATATATATATATATATATATATATATTGTCATTCACAGACAGACTGTAAGCCATGAATTTTTGTTTATATATATATATATATATATTAGCAGAAATTCATGGCTTACAGAAACAAACACTGTAGAATATCACAGTGGAAGATGTTCAGTGTAGTTTTCATAAAAGATAGTCACTGTAACATCATTCATTACATGCTAGTACGTACCTCTCAGCTGACTAGACTGTGTTGATTTAGTTGTCTGACTATAACTAGTAACCGACAACAAGTCGTAGGCATGCTTTTATTTTTTTTTTTAAAAAAAAGAATTTCATCTCCATTAGGTTACAAGATATTTTCTGCTGAATCCAAATGATTTTGATGAACTTTGGCATTTCCTTTATGTTTTTTTGTCTTAAATTTATCCTAAAGCTGAACAATTAAATGTTGCATTTGAAATATTGGCCATTTGTAGGAAGGTGAATGAATGAATGAAGGGTAACAGTCAAGGTAAGCCTGCTTCTCAGTGGGCTGCTTCTCTGCAGGGTGAATTGTTGGCTAGTTGGTGGGCAGAAAAGTCGTTGCAGCAGGAGGAGGAGGAGGAGGTGGTATTTATTAGTGGTGGCTGGGGTTAAGAATGGTCAGCATTACCGATTCTGGATTCAAAATAGGAAGCTTCTGGTAATCAATAGAAAAAAAAATCAATAAGGATCATTAGAAATGAGGGGTAAGAAAAGAAAATGATGAAAAAAGAGGAGAGATAAAAGAAGAAGGGGAAAAGAGAGAGAGAAGAGATAAAAAAGAAAGTGTGAGAGAGAGAAAGGTGAAAGAGAAGAGAGAGATGAGAAAGCAAGAGAAGAAAGCAAGACAATGGGAGTGAGGAGATAGAGATAGACAAGAGAGGGAAAGAGAAGAAAGGGAGAGAAGGAGGAGAAGAGAGAGAGGAGAAAGTGAGAGAAAGAGAGAGGAGAAAGCAAGAGAAGAGAGTGAGCGAAAGAGAAAGCAAGAAAGAGACGTGATAGCAAGAAAGAGAGAGAAATGTGAAAGTGAGTGAAGGAGAGAAAAGACAGTGGGAGAAGAAGGAGAAGGAGAAAAAGAGGAGAAAGTAAACAAAAGAGAAAGTGTGAGTGAGAGAGGAAAAAGTGAGAGAGAGAGGAGAAAATGAGAGGAAGGGGAGAGTGATGTGAAAGTGAGAGAAGGAGAAAAGAGAAAATGATAGGAGAGAGGAGAAAGCAAGTAAAGGGGATAGAAGGAGAGAGGAGAAAGTGAAAGAAGAGAGAGAGAGGAGAAAGCGAAAGGAGAAGAGAGAGAGAAAGAGGAGAAAGCAAAAGGAGAAGAGAGAGAGAAAAAGCAAAAGGAGAAGAGAGAGAGAAAAAGCAAAAGGAGAAGAGGGAGAGAAAAAGCAAAAGGAGAAGAGAGAGAGAAAGAGGAGAAAGCAAAAGGAGAAGAGAGAGAGAGGAGAAAGCAAAAGGAGAAGAGAGAGAGAGAGTGAGAAGGTGAAAGGAGAAGAGAGAGAGTGAGAAGGTGAAAGGAGGAGAGAGAGAGAGAGGAGAAAGCGAAAGGAGGAGAGAGAGAGAGAGGAGAAAGCGAAAGGAGGAGAGAGAGAGGAGAAAGCGAAAGGAGGAGAGAGAGAGGAGAAAGCGAAAGGAGGAGAGAGAGAGGAGAAAGCGAAAGGAGGAGAGAGAGAGGAGAAAGCGAAAGGAGAGGGGAGATAGAGAGGAGAAAGCGAGAGGAGGAGAGTGAGAGGTGAAAGTTAGAGAGAGAGAGGAGAAAGTGAGAGAGAAAGTGAGAGGAGAGTGGAGAAAGCAAAAGGATAGAGGGGAGAAAGTGAGAGGAGAGTGGAGAAAGCAAAAAGATAGAGGGGAGAAAGTGAAAGAAGAAGGTGAGTTAGAGGAGAAGGCAAGAGAAGGAGAGCGAGAGAGGGGAGAAGGTGAGAGAAGGAGAGAGAGAGAGAGGAGAAGTCGTAGAAGGAAGAGAGAGAAGAAGTCGGTAGAAGGAAGAGAGAGAAGAAGTCGGGAGAAGGAAGAGAGAGAGGACAAAGCAAGAGAAGAAAGACAGAGGAGACAGCGAGAGAAGGAAAGAGAGAGGAGACAGCGAGAGAAGGAAAGACAGAGGAGACAGCGAGAGAAGGAAAGACAGAGGAGACAGCGAGAGAAGGAAAGAGAGAGGAGACAGCGAGAGAAGGAAAGACAGAGGAGACAGCGAGAGAAGGAAAGAGAGAGGAGACAGCGAGAAAGAGAGGAGAAAGCGAGAGAAGGAGAGAGAAAGAAGAAAGCGAGAGAAGGAAAAAGAGATATGAGAAAGAGAGAGAAATGAAATTTGGTGAAGAGAGAAAATACAAAATAAAACTTGAAGAGGAGGAGAGAAAAAAATGAGACACAGAGAGAAAAAGGTGAGGGAGAGGAAATAGAAGAAAGAGGGGGCAAAGAAACAGGGTAGTGGAGAGAAAAGAAAATGAAGAAGAGAAAAGAAAACAAGGAAGAGAAAAGAAAGTGATGGATAGAGAAAAGAATATAAGGAAGAGGAGAGAAAGAAGAGAGTATAAGGGAGAGGAGAGAGAAAAAGAGTATAAAGGAGAAGAGAGAGAAAAAGAGTATAAGGGAGAGGAGAGAGAAAAAGAGTATAAGGGAGAGGAGAGAAAAAAGAGTATAAGGGAGAGGAGAGAAAAAGAGTATAAGGAGAGGAGGAGAGAGAAAAAAAGAGTATAAGGGAGAGGAGAGAGAAAAAGAGTATAAGGGAGAGGAGAGAGAAAAAGAGTATAAGGGAGAGGAGAGAGAAAAAGAGTATAAGGGAGAGGAGAGAGAAAAAGAGTATAAGGGAGAGGAGAGAGGAAAGAATATAAGGGAGAGGAGAGAGGAAAGAATATAAGGGAGCGGAGAGAGAGAAAAGAATATAAAAGAGGGGAGAGAGATAGAGTAAAGAATATAAAAGAGAGGAGAGAGATAGAGAAAAGAATATAAAAGAGAGGAGAGAGATAGAGAAAAGAATATAAAAGAGAGGAGAGAGATAGAGAAAAGAATACAAAAGAGGGGAGAAAGAGAGTAAAGAATATAAAAGAGAGGAGAGAAAAGAATATAAAAGAGAGGAGAGAGAGAGAGAAAAGAATCTAAAAGAGAGGAGAGAGAGAAAAGAATCTAAAAGAGAGGAGAGAGAGAGAGAAAAGAATATAAAAGAGAGGAGAGAGAGAGAAAAGAATATAAAAGAGAGGAGAGAGAGAGAGAAAAGAATATAAAAGAGAGGAGAGAGACAGAGAAAAGAATCTAAAAGAGAGGAGAGAGACAGAGAAAAGAATCTAAAAGAGAGGAGAGAGACAGAGAAAAGAATCTAAAAGAGAGGAGAGAGACAGAGAAAAGAATCTAAAAGAGAGGAGAGAGACAGAGAAAAGAATATAAAAGAGAGGAGAGAGAGAAAAGAATATTAAAGAGAGAAGAGAGAGAAAATAATACAAAGGAGAGGAGAGAGAGAAAAGGATATAAGAGAGAGGAGAGAACAGAAAGAGTGAGTAGATAGAGAGAGAAGGGAGAGAGTGAGAATGGAAGCAATTGAGGCTGAGAAGAAAGTAATAGACAGAGGAAAAGGGAAAAGTGTGAAGGAGGATTACATACATGCAGAGAGAGAGAGAGATAAAGATATTCACTTAGGGAGAAAACAAAATTGCCCAGTAAAATAAAAAAATAAAAAAAATAAAAATAATCACCCTGGAGGAACAGAGGGAGGGTTGGGGGGTGGGTGTCTATAAACTGACCTATGTAAATGTCAGTTCTTTCCTGGCTCAGAGGCTGGAGACAGGGTTGACAGGAGAGGAGTGGATAAGCCTGTAGGGGAAGATAATCTGTGTACGACATTTATTAGTCTGAAAGAGAAAAGAGATCTTAATCACAGACAGGAATCGCAGATGCCCATAACAGTTTTTCGTTTCATTTTCTAGGTGAGTCACATTTATGCCTAGTCATATAGATACTTTATCTTATTTCAAGCTGAAAAATATCAGGAACAAGCCTGTCCTTGTGCTGTCTTCACTAGTCAATGTTATGTCATATTCAAAGATATGAAAGTTTGTTATTGCAATATTAAATATTTCTGTATAAAAATCATCAAAAATAAATTACATTTACCAGCTAAAGTGAATATTGAATTGAGTAAACTTTTGGATTTAGTTCGGTTTGTTTTGTTTTATGGCATATCAACCTCAATGGGTTATTTAATGCCAACAAAATTTTTATTGCTGGTAATATTTTTTTTGTCAAAAATCTATTTCTGGTAAGATTTTTCCTTCAAAAATGTGTTTCTGGTAATAATTTTTTCCAAAAAACTATTACTGGTAATATTTTTTTTCAAAAATATGTTGCTGGTAATATTTTTTTTCTTCAAAAATTTATTACAGGAAATAATTTTTTACAAAGTATTTCTGGTATTAAAACCTATTTTTACACTTTCAAAGTGGTTTTACCCCAGTTTCGGGGTTAACTATTTGCCCATAGCTTGGATCCTAACAGGTGCTACCACCCTGGGTCAGGGCAGATTGGGAACACTCTCAATTAAGAGGTGGTTCCATGCTCCTCAAAACCTCCTGATCAGACAACTTGCTGTTGGATGTAGTTTATCGTTTTACCCAGGACGCGGATGTAGTTTATTGTCAGACCCAGGATGGTAAACTTTTGAAGAAAGGAAATATTTCTATGATTAAAAAATATTAAAAATTCATAATGATCACTTAAACTTGTTCTTGGCCCTGGTCAGATTTTCGATTCAAATGCATACATTTATTTTTTAAATTTTAAAAGTTAATTCAAATAAGTGAATTAAAACAAAAAGGAGGAGAAAAAGTTCACTTGCTGACAAGATGATTTTTTTTTCTTGACGGTGACTGCTTAACAGTTAGAGTTATTGGTGATCAGCTTCCTCCTCTCCATCATATTAGGAAAGTGTAATATTTGGATAATAACTAATAAATTATAATATAAAGATTTTTTTAATCTTTTCACCCCATGCAAGACAATTGTGCCACTAAGAAACCAAGGATTACTGACAGTGAAAGAAAATGAGAAAGGCATTTGTAAGCAGAAGGCACAAAAAGAATACGATTCAGGAAGACATCAATTTTTGAAGATCATAGGTGACAAGGAAGAAAGAAGCCAATAAAGACTCCACAGGTAAGAAGTACGAGAGAAGAAACTGTCAGAATAGAACTTACAGTTACATTTAGCAATTTCAACAGTAATACTATAAGATCTTGTTGGCAATCTAGTAGTAGGTTTAAATTCATGCAGTCGAGGTGCCAAGGCAGAAAGCACATTACCATGAAAACATTTATAGAAAAGACACAGGGTAGCCATGTTAAGGTGATGGGGAAGTGATTAAAGCCAAGCTGTCAGGTAAGGACCAATAGCATTACAGACCCTACTTTAAATTTGTCAAGAATCTTGGGATATATAGCAGGAGCACCAAACCATATGTGGTAGCAATATTCAATGCACGGAAAAATGGTAGATTTATAAATGTGCAAGATGGATTCTGACAAGAAAAATTGTCTGACACAACACAGTGAACCAACTTTCCTAGCAGTAGATTTAGCAATTGATTCAATATAATCACTCCACTTCATATCCAGTGGAAAATATGATAGACTGAGAAAGCATGATGAGTTGTTCTCCAGGAGGTTAGCATCTACCAAGCTGATGGAAAGCAAAAATGGTTATATAATTGTTATACTGGAACGTACCTATTTCTATTGTAAATAGACTCTCCCACAGATAAGTAGTAGTAGTAGTAGTAGCAGTCGCAAGTGGAGTGGAGTGAGTTGTGTGAGTCAGTCGATGTCGGACATTAAAGTATGAGCCCCACAACAAGGTTGCTGCGTCATTAACTATTATTTCAAGTTCCTAACGTTTTGTACGTCGAACCTAATTTAGGACCGACTTAGTGAAATACAAGCCTCCACTGTGAAAATTACTCTACAACAATAATATGACTAAAAGATAGTAGTTTTGTTTTGGAGGCGTTAAAATTCACAAGCCATTTCTTGCCCTGCTTAAAAACTGACTGAAGAGGATTTTTGGTAGCAGCTGCGTTTTACTTTATCGGACTTACTGTTAAGACAAGAGTAAATAGTTGTATCATCAGTGTAGGTACTGACTTGGGAATTGCTGACATCAGGAACTTTTGTTGATGAAGAAAAGATACAAAATCAATCTAAGGATAGAACCCTGCAGGACACTCGCATTAATTTGAAAAGAACTTGTTATAAACCCCTTTACTTTTAGACTAGTATCCTCAATTTGGTTGTTATACACACATTGATTTGCCTGTTGTGCCCTTACAGTTTTCATTAGGCATTTATTGAAAAATCAGTAGACATCTTGGAATTTTAAAGCAAATCTTTTATTCAAATGCTCTGGAGTAGATTGTTTTCATTCTGATTTTTATACTTCAGGGGAGATAACTTGTATAAGTCAATGTTTTCCAGTTTATTCACCTCTATGTTCATTCTTTGTTTCTTCCAATAAAACCAGAGTAGATCACTTTTTCTATGCAACTGATTCACAGATTGAACTCAAAACCAGATATGTTTTAACCAATGCATTAATCCACTTAGCCATGCCTCTCATGGATAATCCACTTAGCCATGCATCTCATGGATAATCCAGTGGTGAAATTCTGAAGGCTTACACCTAATGTCTGTACTCAGGTGGTGGAATCTTTTTTTCTTAATCAAAGGCTTCCAGATGGTATTTATCTCTATCCTAGGTCCACTAAGGAGGTTCTCAGTGCTTAGCCTAACATGTGACCTGATACTTTCAATCATTTTAAATTCTAGAACCTCAAACTTAATTCTGTAATCAGTTGGTGGGGCTGTAGGAATATCCTGACTCTGGTGTTAGAATTCTGTAGGTGTTTGGATAGAATTTTTGCTGTTTCTTTTTTCTTAATCAGAGGCTCTCAGATGGTATTCATCTCTATCCTAGAGTCTATTAAGGAGGTTCTCAGTGCCAGTGAACTGATAGTTTCAATCGTTTTATCCTTCAGTGTTGTTCTTTGTTTTATCTCAACTTCAACTCACAAGGGTTGATGACCACACTTTCCCTCCACATATGGTCATTCATGTTTGATTTTAATATCTATCTGGACAACAGTTTTTTTGTTTTCTCACCCTTACTTTTAAGGAGAAACTGGTCTTACCACAACTGCATGGGATGGAATACATAGAGTTCTTGGTCATATTTTCTTTAAAGGCAGGGTTTAATTTGGGTAATATATTGCCAAAAAAATGAGCTTCTTTTGAATATTGCCCTCACATAGTATGGAATGCAGATCTTTTTAATCTTTTCAAATGTACCCCTTATGGATAGTAGACAGATGGTGGTAGATTTTTATTATTGTCCTCAGAGCTTTCCCTGCTTATAAAGGCTGTTATTATGTTTACAAGATAAATTTTTACCTTGAAGTGTGTTTTAGTATGTGTCTGACATTGTCACTTATGAGTTTGTTCAGATGTTACAGGCAGCAGATGATCCCATTTTTTGCATTGTATGGATGGTAGGGATTGAATTTCATTAGAAAGATTTTGTATATTTTCAAAATAATTCAACTTTGAAAAATCAAAAATACTCTTGGCCACAATGCAACCTAAGAAATAATTGCATATATGGGTCAGTTTGTTCTTATTCATACTGGCTATCATAAACAATAACAGCTTTAAATGACCCCTTGGTAGTATGGGACCAATGAATGTCCTCTCTTTTGAAAATGCTCTGAGTACAGTAGTCAATGGAATTCAAATCAGAACAGCTAAGTGGTCATATATTGGGAATTATATGATTGTGAAAATTGTTGGCCAGTCACTACCTTTATGTCATGTAGGAAGAAGCAGTGTCCAACTGGAATGCATAGAGCCATCCCCATGATCCACGGCTTGACAATCTCTATTATAATGATGTAGCAGATGGCACCAACTCTCAGACCCTGCAGGAAGAAGTAGGGGTGGCACAACATGGCCATTTTTGTTCACAACCCCTGGGGCCATCACTATGAGCTTCATGTATATCACCATGGGTAAGCAGAGATACTTCCTGTTCACTTGGAGATTTTCAAGAAGCTTTTTTGTTCTGTTTGGGTGGCTAATGCCACAAACATTTTCATTTAATATCAGACTGGAAGTTACCAGGATAATGCTCTCAATACATTAGAAAAGGAAATGAGTTTAATAAAATTATGTGTAACATTATGTTAGGCCATCTTCCATGATCCATTAAAGATGTTTTCACAAAAAAATTGGCTCTCCCTCTCACTCTATTACATATGGTTCTGTATGTGATGAAATAAGACCAAGAAACTCTAGCTTATCTGAAGCCATGAGGCCATGGCGTCTCGCCTGTCTGGTTGGAGTCGCCATTTGCAATTTAGTCAAAGCATATGCATGGTTCTAGCTCTTTTAAAACTATCGCTAATTTGCTTGTGTGGTCAAAAAACCTGAATAAAAAGTGAGCTGCACAGATAAGCTGCAAATGACATCCAGACTAACTTTTTCAAGACTGGGCTCTTGGTTTCACCTACTATAGAGCCCAGATTAACACTAAGTCAGCTGGCCTGAAGATTACACTTAAGCTTGTAACAGACTGTTGTTGCTGGGTGCCTGCCTTTATATTTACAATATCTCTATCCCCAATAGTGAGTATTTTAACCCATAAATAAAGCATGCCTTAAAACTATATATATATATATATATATATATATATGTATGTATATATAAATAAAAAGAAAGAACAGTAACGGATGTCAGATTTCATTGAAGAATACATCCCTACCCCCTACCAAAACGTAACTAATAACTGATACATCAAAATAGAGACATAATGAACATGCAAACACCCCTCGTCTGGTTGAAATGAATTTCTCTGTATCCTTGGAAACGTGAATTATGACTTTTTCTGTCTTTAAAACCCAGTAAGTTACTCCAAAATTTGCTTGAGGATGAAATGGAACTAATGTCTTTAATATAATTACAAAATTAAATTCAGACCTTCCATTTTTGAAACATGGTTAGAACTGTGTAGTGGAAAAACCATATTTTAAATCAATTTATAATATATATATATATATATATATATATATATATATATATATATATATATATATATATATGATAGAAATTATTAGAAGGATTCGATAATTATATATATATATTTTAAGTAATTCATCGAGTCAGAAAGAAACCTCAACAGAATGTAGAAAGCACTGGACGGCCGTTTCGTCCTATATTTGGGACTCATCAGCAGTGCACATCCACTACCGAGAATTGAAACCTTGACAGTTAGGTTGTCAAGCAAACATCATACCAACTGTTCCACCGGGCCTCTTTCAGACTCAATGAATTACTTAAATATAATTATCAAATCCTCCTAATAATTTCTATCATGTACATCATTGCTTTGACTGGCTTCTAATGCTCTAGAGTGAGTGGCTTGGTGAGAGTAGTCGTGGCTCCAGGGGGCACAGTCCTATGGTTACAGAGAACTCAGTAAGAGTTCTACCACGGAATATGTGAGCGAGCAGTGCTATATTGAGTCTGATTTGCAATTTCTTCGTCACCGATGCCCGGTGGAACAGTTGGTATGATGTTTGCTTGATAACCTGTCAGGGTTTCAATTCTCGGTAGTGGATGTGCACTGCTGATGAGTCCCAAATATAGGACGAAACGGCCGTCCAGTGCTTTCTACATTCTGTTGGGGTTTCTTTCTGACTCGATGAATTACTTAAATATAAATATATATATATATATATATATATATATATATATATATATATATATATTATATTAGCAAGGCACTAAAGCCATAAAGAACAAGTGAATACTGGGGATGAAAGAATTAGTAAGCAAAAACATTAGTAAGGACTGAGACCAAACAAAGAGTAATCAGGAGGACAGTAGATAATGATTGACATTGCATTTAAATTTTTGAAGATCAAAGTTAACTGGAAAGCATGAAGTCAGAAGAGAGTTCCACAAGTAAGAAGTGCAATAGAAGAAACTGCTAGCATAGAACTTACAGTTACATCTAGCCAACTTAATTGTAAATTGATGAGATCTTGTTGCTAATCTAGTACTGTTCTTAAATTGATAAAGTCTAGGCACCAAAGTGAAGAGATCATCTGAACAATTACCATGAAAGTATTTATAGAAAAGGCACAGGGAAGTAACTTTATGGTGGTGGGAATGTGACTGAAGCTGAGATGCCAGGTGAGGAACAATAATATTGCTGATTCTTCTTTGAATTTTATCAAAAATCTTTAAATATATAGCAGGAGTACTGGACCAAATGTGGCAGCAATATTCTAAGCATGGCAAAATGGTAGACATAGATATGTAGGATAGATTCTGGAGAGAAAAATTGTCTAGGATGACACAATGAGCCAACTTTCTTAGCAGATGACCTAGCAATGGATTTAATATAGTCTTTCCATTTCATGGCAGCAGAGAATATTAGTCCCAGAAGGTGCAATGAGTGACTTTCCTGAAGGTTAGCATCAGCCATGCTGATGTAAGCAGAAAGGGGTCTTTCAGATGATTAACAGTTTAGTTTTAGAAGCATTAAAATTAACAAGCTATTTGTGCCCCTGTAGGTTGTTTTTAACATCAGCCGCCAATTTGACCTTATCAAACTGTTTAGACTTACTATTAAGATAGAAGTAAATGGCTGTATTATCAGTATATATATCAAGTTGAGAGATGATGCCATCAGGAAGGTTATTAATAAAAATTAAAAACAAAGTGGGACTAAGGATAGAGCCCTGTGGGCACCTGCATTAGTACAAAAGTTTTTATAAAACAAAAAAAAACAAAAAAAAAACAGATAAAAGACATTTTGTCTGATCATTGTCACTGGTCATTTTTGGTTAGTGAGATAAATCCATATCTCTTTGATGAATTGTTTTGTCTGCATTGAAAGTGGAAATTTTAAACATTTTGAATCTGATGATGTACATTTTAGATGGAATAAGTTTCCAACTATGACAATAAACATTGATTTAAATTTATCTTGAAGTAATAATTTCTGCAGAGTAAACTTAATCCACAAAATCAAAATAAATTCCATTAAAAGTTGCAATTAAAAAAAAATAAAAAATACAAATAAAGAAGCAAAGTTCTTTTTTAAGTTGAAATACAATTTAGTCAATTTGTATTTGACTATTTTTTTTTAATCAGAATCACCCCAAGCAAGGCAGTAAAGCTGCTAAGACACAAGGAGTTACCAGATATAGAAGAATTAGGAACAGAAACATTAATGATGATCAGAAAGAGAAAAGAATAATCAGGAGGACAGTAAACAATGATTGACATTACATTTAAATTTTTGCAGATTAAAGTTGACTGGAAAACATCGAGGTGGAAGGGAGCTCCACAAGTGAGAAGTGTGAGAGAAGAAACTGTTAGCATATAATTTATGGCTACATCTAGCCAGCTCAAGTGTAAACAGATGAGATCTCAACACCACTCTAGTACTGTGCTTGTTATAAAATTTATTTTCAATTCTTTTCTCTATTTCCTATAATTGCCATTTTTCAGTTTTTAAAGAAAGCAGTCTATAGAAATTAAAATTTTCAAAATACAGTTGATAAAGATTTGATGCAGCTTTTCATAGTCACCTTCATTAAAATTCTATTTTGAACGAGAAAGTAACAGAGATTCAAACAAAATCTTCTTTTGAAATTGTTCTTTTTTCACGAAAGTCAATCAAAAGTTAAATCCAAACCTTTTCTATTTGTTCTCACCCTCAAGAACAGTGGTTTTCAAATGGAGTGTCATGCCTCATATGTGAAGCTGAAGTGGATAGCAGGTGAGGCAGAATGATTGAAAGACAATCAAAGATTTAGAAACAGTTTAAAAAATTTCATATGCTAAAAATAAACATGATTTCAAAAATTAAAATATTATTATGGATGACTTGTAATTGCATGCATGAGTCCCAGTATAAATAGTTATAAATAATTATTGACAGATTTTATCACTGTGATACTTCTGCATTATATCAAGTATTATGAATGTAGTAACTAGGGTCTGCAAATTGGAGGAGAAAGTTATCAATGATAATCTTCTGACTTTGAATCCGCAGTTATCTCCCTTTAATCTTCTCTCTGTTTTTTTATTTTAAATGTACTTTTTATTACTTAAAATTTGGTGAGGTGTAAGCAAAATTTCATTTTGAAAATGCAGACCAAAGAAAAAAGTTTGGGAACCACTGAACTCAATGGCATTTGTTTTCTTCTAAAAGGTATTTTCAGTTATTTCAAGTTAGATCAAAAGGAAGATGTTTACTTTTATCCAAAGAGGTTAACATTTAAAAGAGTTTTAGCATATTGATGAAAAGAAGCTGGTTTCCATTTTTTGTAGTAAACTCTTCATGAAACCTGTTTTTGACTTCTAATGACAAAAATTGAAATTTCCTATTTTTAAATTTTGATTTTATCATTTTTTTAGAAATTTTAAAGGCATTTTTTGAAACTGGGCTTTTTTTCGTTTTTATACAGACTGAAAATGATCCCATAAAAAAGAAAATGCTCAATTATTAGTATGTGTGCATACAATGAGATTCTGAAAATCAAGATTTTTTTTTCTCATAAGGTTCTAATGTTTGGTCAATTACCAGATTTTAGGAAGTAGATAAGGCTGATAACTTTTCTGCACACCCTCATATATTTTCTTGTCTTTGCTGCCTAAAGTATAAATTATCAAAAGTTTTAAAAATTCTATTCAAAATATTTTTATTTATTTAATGTAAAAAAAATTAAAATAAAGAGTAACACTTACTTGATTACAGGTGAGATCAGTTGGTGCAGGTGGAAGATGTGGGGGCCTAAATTTATCTGGCCTTAGGGTCACCGGGAAGCAGGGACTTTCTTCATCACTATCACTTTGTTCTTTCAAGGTCAAATTTCGTATTTTCCCAATTAGACGAGGAGCCTGAAATGTATAGGAAAACAAACAGAACTTGTAAAGCTGGACTATTGTAAAGTTTATTAAATTTAATTTAGATTCATCAGACAGTTTTTTAATTACATAACAAAGACTTTATAAGAATTTGAAAGGTATAGTAAAGGAAGATAACCTTTTATTGTTCAAAGATCAACTTGAACTTGAAACTCTTATAGGACTCTTATTGGGTAACTGCTGTCCAATCAGGACACCTTCTTGGGGCCACACAGTAAACTTGATCCTGAAACCTTCCTCTTTTGCAACTGACAGCCATAGCCACCATGTATTTATTGGAATCATCCCTTCCGATATTAATAGATTACAGAAACTGCAAAGACCTCTTGTTTCCTTGGACAGACATTCTTCTAACAGCTAAGTCCACAAATATAAATTATATTTGCAGGCCTTCTTTTTACCTATTGTGCAGAGACTCTTTTCTGTACAACCTGTCAAATTTAACAGAGTCTTTGTGTCATTTCTCTTCTTCAAGCCTGTCTTTCTTTGTCGAGTTGCAACCGGAAAATCTTTATAATTGAACCAATAAAAATATAATCTTTTGAAACTGTAATATGAACCAAACAATCTAACAACCAAGTGTCAAGTTACCACGGCACCAGTAAATTGATAAAAACATGAACCATAATTGAAGAATTCTAATGTGGCATGAATATGGCAAAAATTCCGATATGAAATTGAATAAATTTAATGTCTCTTTGTTTGCATACAAAGGGTGCTTAAAAGTTCTCAGCTTAACCAAGGGATAAAAAAAAACAAAATCTGATGTTAGAAATTAAGTCAGGCTAAGAATCTTCCTTCATATTTTTGTAAATAATCCAGAACTTTTTGCATCTGTACGAAGATGGATTGGCAGCAACAATGAAGTTCTGACAGATGTGGATATTGTAATCATTATCTTTGTGTAAAACAATCATCTACCTGTTGCTTGGACTGTCATACGAAAAATTATTATTAATGTTGTTCTTTTGAGAAACTTTGTACTGGCCATTTACTGCTTCTGGTTGTTTGATTTGTTTGTTTGTTGCCCAGGCAGTTCTGAAATCTTAAGATTTATAGAAAATGCCAAAGAATAATCAATTGGCAAATCTTGGGGCCCAACAGATTGACTGTTGTGCTTACTACCAGCCATGCCATTTACATAGTAGCAAACCACCTACATTCCCTTTATATTCCATCAGTGAGAAGGAAGTTCCACTCAAAAAGCTTCTTCCTGTGAACCATTCTCTGTAGAACAGACTCCCAAGAGAATGTTTCCCAGATCACTAAAATCTTACTCTCTACCTTGAGTGGCACCCAGACTTTGTACAGGGTGAACCTTACTGTAAAAAAAAAAAAAAAAAAAAAAAAAACTAGAGTAAAAAAAAAAATTCTTTTAACAAATTTACCTGTGCGAGGTCTGTACTGAGTTTCTTTGGAGGAGGTGGCAAAGGCTTTGTGGCATAATCTTCCTCTTCAGACTCATCAGTAAATGATGAAGAATAAAATTCATCTGACCCCCAACTGGCATCGGAATCATGTGATCCTTGATAATTTATCAGTTGGTATTTGTTATCACATGGCTGCTCGTACGAGCCAATCGTTGCTGAAAAGAGATACAAACAATGTTAAACATTACAGCAAAGGAATTTTCGGTTTTAATTAACATTACTTTCATTCCAAAAAAGAAGTCTGTGAGTATAATGTTTCACAATATCTTTACTTTTCATTGTCGATGATGTGAGATCAAAAGAAGAAAAAATTATGTCCAAGAAAGAATAAGTTGCAAAGAAGAAACCATCAAAGCGTAAGACTGTGTCTCATTGAGAAAAATCAACCATGTTCTTAAAACATTCCACAAAACTCCTTTATTTCTGAGACGAAGTATTGTAATTATTTACTCTCTTTTCATTGTTCAAACTGTTGTCCTCATTTTTCTTCATCTGAAGGCAACAATTATGGCATCATTCATTAACTTAAAGAAGACCATCCAGAAGAGTTTCAGGAGATTCTGAAGTTGTCTTGAGGCTGTGGTTGAAGCCAATCCCTTTAGTATTTCAAGATATTTTTGTATCATTTTGGTAAATATGACTGCTAAAATGAGATATCAGTGTTATTTTCATTTTTGTGTAATTTAGATGACAATTTATTCATCGCACCTTTATATATATAAGAAATAAAGTTTTAAGGTGTGCTATATTTATGGGATAAAAATACCTGCATTCGTGGGATAGGAGCTGGAGGAGAATCTGTTGAGAACGACCTCAATACACGGTTTGGGAGGAATGATTGTATTAAGTCAAACAATTGATCTGTAATACCATAACCCTGGAGCTTGCGAAGAAGGCTGGCATGCCAAACCCTATCAAACACTTTGGAGATATCTAGAGCCACGGTATGAGCTTCTCCGTTATTTTGAAGAGCTTGGTAAACAATTTCAGTTATGGCCGTAAGCACATCAGCTGTAGAACAGGCAAAGTGGAAATCATATTGCTTGTTGGAGTGCAGATCATAGGGTGTAAGGTGCTTAACCACTTTGGCATTGATTAAAACTTCAAAGACTTTGCCGAAGATGGGTAGGAGATTGATATGATGGTAATTAGAAGAGTTAGAGGGGTCTCCAGAGTTCTTAAAGACAGGGACAATGGATGAGAACTTCCAACAGTTTAAGTTTAAGCAGGTCATATTATATAACATGTGTTGGGTTTTTCTCAACTATTTATATATACAGGTCAGTGGTGCATTGGGGGTAGTCCATTCTAATGGTTATTTTGGCGGGAGTGGTTTCTTTATTTATTTGGGTTAATTTATTTTACTTGAATTTTATTTTTTATTTTATATATTTATTCTTTTCAGTTTTCAATGTTTTAGTAATGTAGTAAAAATTTTTGAGATGAGATTAGATTGTTTATTTAATAGTTTTGGTCTAGGAAAGTAATTAACAGCCTACAGCAATCAATACAAAACCTGAAAACTTTGCTTGAAGGTAAAACTAGCTATAGTTACCTTCCCAGAACAAAATAAACTACTAAATAAATGATCTGAACTCATCTCAAAATGCAGACATGAAAACAAAAAAGAATAAATAAAAATAAACAAAATAATAATAAAAAACAAGTAAAATAAATTAACCCAAGCAAATAATAAATGAATTAACAAACCACTCCCGTTAGAATAGATGAAAAAGAATGAATAAAAATAAATACGAAAAAACAAGTAAAAATAATCAATCCAAATAAATAATAAACAAATTAGCAAAACAATCCCACCAGAATAACTGTCAGAATAGACTACAACAATCAATTAAAAAATTGGATGAAAATTACCTATAACTGCTATATAAACAATAAAAATAAAATTTTATGTTATTTCAATGTTACTTAAAAATTGAAAACAAAAAAAGAATAAATAAAAATATACAAAAAAAAAACAAAACACAAAATAAATAAATAAGAAAAAGCAAGTAAAATAAATTAATCCAAATAAATAAACAAATTAATAAACAACTACTGCTAAAATCACCATTAGAATAAATAAAAATAAAAAATAAATAAGCAAAATCACATAAAAATAATCAATCCAAATAAATAAATAGACAAATTAAAAAACTACCCCACCACCAAAATAACAGAATAAACTACAGTAATTAATCCAAAAATTGGACAAAAAAATAGCTTTAATTACCTTCCCAGACTAAAACAAACTATTAAATAAATGATTTAAACTCATCTCAAAAATTTTTAACCATGTTACTAAAACATCAAAAAACCAAAAAGAATAAATAAATATATAAAATAAGAATAAATAACAAGTAAAATAAATTAACCCAAATAAATGAAGAAAGAAACCACTTCTACCAAAATAACCATCAGAATGGGCTACCAACAATGTACCACTGACACGTATATGTAATCGAGAAAAAAAAAAACATATATGGCCTGATGATTGCATCTAGCATCAAACAGCCTGTTGCCTCTTAATGTTGACTTCAGTGTTCACTTATATATATATATATATATATATATATATATATATATATATATATATTAGTTCCACTTCATTTTCCTTTCTCATCTCATTAAGAAAAGACACAAGCATATCTCAAAATTCCCATTTTTAAAATCCTTCTTATCATGCTTCCATAAAGGCCTACTTATATACAATAAATGCAATTAGATTTATTATCAGTATTATTATTTTTGTTGTTTTTTCATCTCTTAGATTTCTTTCATTGGCCTATTACATCTAAAAATTGTAAAAAGCATATGTGGACAATCATTCATTACTATTATACATAAATAAGTGTCTGGCTCCTCATTTATAAGTACATCCAACAGCTAGCCAATTAGATGTCTGTTCAGGCAACTTTCAACACCCACCTCTAGTTTATAGTGCAATTATGCAGTTTCTGGGAGAGGGTATATAGTCCGTTAGAACAACATGCAAACTCTCAGTCATGATGACTAGTGACTTTATATTAGCACAACCATCAATGACTCCTGAACAGTTTCATCTAACCCAATTTTACCCACAAGGCTTAGGTTAACTCATAGCATAATTTTCAGGCTTTTTTCAACAGTTCTGCATGAAGGATTGCCCCACCCAAGCCTATAAAATCAAGAAGTCACCTTCCTGAGAAATCAACCATGGTGAAATTTGAATCTGGGCTACATGGTCAGAAAGAAAATGCTCTAGCCATTAGGCATCAACACCACATGGGGTGTGTCAGTTTCATGCCTCAATATGATCTTCAGACAAAGTTTGAATATCATATTGAGACCTGAAACAGACATACAACATGCAGTGCTTATATATAAATCAACACTGTATATAAATCAACAGTGTTTGTATATAAATCAACACTTTGTATATAACTTAACCTAAGAATATGATTTTCAAATTATATTCTTAGGTTTTTAATTAAATACGGTTAATTCTGAAACAGTTTTTATAGAATTGCAATGAAAACCTCTGTTTCTGTTTCAGGAATTTATGCAATTTGGAAAGAGTTTTATTCTGTTTAATTATCAGAAATGAGACTGAAATTTCCAAACAGGTATTACAATTACAAAAATACAAGTCATTCTAAATTGAAACCTATAAGGAAAATCATATTTGTTGAAAAGGCAGTGTCACATGACACCAATTCCTGGTGTCATGTGACAATTTTAAAACGTTAAAAGATTTTTAGCACAAACAACTTGAATTGGTAACATGGTTTTGTATGTTTTATTAAAAGAAAGTTTTAATGCTTTTATTTTAGACAAATTTAGTTGTCGAGAAATTAATTTTAAGTGACAAGAAATTAATTAGTAAGGAAATACAAGAACTGATTAGAAAAATAATTTTCTACGATTATAGACAAATGTGTGTGTGTGTTTTGTTGTTTTTAATCATTTCACCCCAAACAAATCAGGAAAGCTACTGGTATGTAGAGGGTTACAGAGAGTGAAGGTGGGAGTAAAGACTGGTAAGGGGAACTGAAGAAAGGATAAAAGCTGAATGGGGTTCAAGATAATTAAAGACGGTGATTGATGTTGCATTTAAATTTTTGAAGATTGTAGTTATCAAGGAAGCAAGTAAACAGAAGAGCGTTCCAGATACAGGAAGTGTGAGAAAAGAAACTGTTAGGGTATAATTGGTGGTTACGTTTACCTGATTCAACAGTAAAAAGGGGAGGGCCTAGATGCCAGTCTAGTAGCACACTTAAAGTCACATAAAACTTGTCAGAGCAGTTGCCATGAAAGTATTTGTAGAAAAGACAGAGGGAAGCCATGCCACATTGGTGAAAAAGAGACTGAAGTCAAGATGCCAAGTCAGGATTGATTGCATTGCAGATCCTTCTTTGGATTTTGTCAAGAACCTCAAGATGAGTAGCAGGAGCACCTGACCGGTTATGGCAACAATATTCAATGCATAGGCAAATGGTAGATTTGTAAATGTGCAAGAGGAACTCTGACAAAAAAAAAAAAAAACCTTCTGGCACAACACAGTGACCAACTTTTCTTGCAGCTGATGCACCTATTGACTTGATGTACTACTTCAACTTCAAGTGAGTTGAAAATGTGAAGCCAAGAAGTCGCAGTGTGTTGCTCTCCATGAGTCTAGCATCAGCCATGCTGATGGTGAGCAGGAAAAATTCTCAATAGGGTTGAATGAAAGCAGTTTAGTTTTGGAGGCATTAAAATTTACAAGCCATTTCCTGCCCCAGTTAACCACAGATTAGAGGTCCTTTTCAAGAGCAGTGGCCAGGTTGTGTGTGTAGATAAATAAAAACTTTACATTATGAAATGTAGTTTGAAAACCTTTAAAAAAAAAAAAAAAAAGAGAAGAAGAAAGAAAGAAAGAAGCTGAGTGTGGGTTTATGAATGCAAAGTAAATGGGCTTTGGTAGTTCAAAACTCCCCTGCTTCTTCCAGGATCTCTCTTATCCTGCCTTATTCTCAAATTCCTTTCCGTCACTGCATCCCTTACTACATTTCTCGTATGTATTTTGTTTCCTCTCTGATTGGCATGTTGCTTTATCAAGTTTGCTGAAACCAAAAAAATTCCTGATTACTATTTTTGGTCTGAGTTTTATTGTTTCTTTCTTCCTTCCCATAATTTG